ATTTCTTGTCATAACATACACAAAGCAAGAAAATTAGGTTAGCGAGGCTCAATGTTCATGTTTAAACCTTTGTTAGTTAATCAGATGCGAGTCATACCATTAACAAAAAGTAGGTAGACCACCTACAGCCTAATTCGATGATTTATAATTGCCCTGTGTCACAAGATTAGTGCTATGGAAAGGGACGATAATATCGTTGAAAATAAACCGGTTACTACTTAAATCGACCACACGCGGGGATGAATTAACCCATTTATGCCCAGGAATATTGACCATCATGAAAATCGACGAAATCAGAATATGTTATGCTCCTACCAGGGCCTTGTATGGAATCGAAAATAATTTTTGCCTGCAGCAAAAGTTTCTCGAGAAAAACGTAAAAAACATGCGTTGCGAAATCGCAACGAAGGGCACACCGGGCGCCATCAGCGTTGCGAAAACGCAACGACGGGCACATCAGACGGACATAAAGTACACTGAACTGCCGTATATGCTAATATGTTTTGACAAAACATCAATCAACTGTTGACAACTATTGCTTGAAAATGCGGAACCCACATCCGTCATGCTCTATAACCCGCCTAAGAGCCTCAGTGAGGAAGCATAACTTCATGATTCGCGAACGGGGAGATGGCAACACGGTCATTATCAACCATTTACGTTGTCCATTGCTGTTCATTTAAAGTTGTGGTCGACACGTATCCAGGATGATGCTTTCTTTTTGGAAGCTAGACAGATCCATTACCCCCACCTATCAGACCCTGCACAGTGCACACTGAATACAATTAAACGGAGGATTGGGAGTAAACCAGTAACTCTCGTATGCGCGTATATCCGCAAGCATTTTTAACCACCCTCCTAGGAGTAAAGTTAAATTCCATTGCAGGTTAGTCGTACTCACTCTCAGCAAAAAGAAAAAAAGGACCGATCCGGCTCTAACAAATTACCCGCGTAAGGCGTAGCGCATCACAACAAATCGACTCCCAGTTTATCATGTTTACACCTAATCCAAAATTTTCATGGCCCCACTCTCAGCGACCTTCACGTGTAACCTCTTTCTCGAGACAATGCCAGGACAGAATGGTGATTCGACGTCAATCCGTCCTTTCCATCTTCAGGATAGTTGAATCCTCCTCCACGCCTCATCCCCCTGTTCCGGGCTGGACCGGCAACGTATATCGCAATCGGGCAGCTCACATAGGAGCGCGCCTGTAGCCGGGTGCAGTGAGTGCTTGGGAGGGGGGAAGGGGGTGGGTCATGGGTGGCGGCTGCCCACTGGCTGGGCTCAGTCTCCAGTCTACGATCGACCGTGTCCGGTCAGACAAATGTCTCCCCTTATTCCAATAATCCTGCTAGCTCTGAAAATGGTCTGATTAGATAAAAAGCCTATCAAAGTAAGAAAACAGGCGTATACTCCACATCAAGCAGCTTATGAATCTATGCGAGTTATGAATCCTAAAAATTATTATTTTCCCATGGGTCCGCCCTCATTACCCCTGCCGAAGGGCTCAGCTACCCTCGGAGGGGGCCTATCCCACTATTTGCCGACCCTCAGTTACCTTTTCTAACGTAAATGCTGGTAGTCAGCAGATTCTATCCAGAGAATGGCGATACCTATCTGTCGCCTGATACCAGAATACATCCCCGTTATTCATTATTTATGCGCAATGTACATAGTAGATCCAATTTCCAAAGGACCTAATTATCTCTCAGCTCCGTTAGCATCGCCGACCGTTTGATGCATGGGTCCTTTTCCTACCATGCGATTTTCAGATGCATGGGAACACATTGCTTAGTGAACGAACAGCCCGAGGCCGAAAATCTGCGAGAGAAAAAGAAAGGAGTGTTTGTGGCTGTTTGAGCCAGCAAATATGAAATGTGTCGCAACATTTTACGTGCGAACACACCTTGCACTAAACATACCTATATACGTCCCTCATGGCATAGGCGGCGGAGCGGGGGGAGGGGGCACCGGGGCACCGTGCCCCCCTTGATTTTGCCATTTTAACATTATCCCGATAGGCGTTGCATGGAAATGGAAATGGAAAGAATGAGACCAAAAGTCAGCAGTGCTCCCCCCTTAATTGAAGATGTTCCGCCGCTACAGCCTCATGGCTACAAAATGAGAGAGAGAAAGAAAGAGAGAGAGAAAGAGAGAGAGAGAGAGAGAGAGAGAGAGAGAGGGGGGAGAGAGTTGGGGAACGAGGAGGAGAGGGAGGAAGATGGGGGAGAGAAAGAGAGAACCCACAGCGTATCACGAGTGAAGTCTACTGTTGATATTCATACTTCCGCTACCCTGCCAATGTGCCCATCGTTGCGTTTTCGCAACACCGCTGTCTTTCCGATGTGCCCTTCGTTGCGTTCCCGCAACGCGACCGTAGTCATATTTGAAAATAGTCACAAACCCTTTTTGTAGCATTATTTCTTAACAAAATGCATATCTACGCTATTGTAGGGACTCTGCAGAATATGTTTACACAATTTTCATTACGATATTATTAAGCACTTAGCCTACTTATCTTGGTTTTCGTGACGTCATCACTCACAAAACCTTCGACTTCCCTCTGGGAGCTCTAGGCAGTAACTTACCGGCCGCACAGACTTGTAACTGCGTAGTATCATGCGCACAACCATGCTACACACGCTGAAACTTGTCTCATCGGTTAGTCTCTTTTACACACTTCTCAAGCTTCGATCACGTCGACGCTTGCTTGCGTTGCGAAAACGCAACGAAGGGCGTAAATGGGTTAACAAGGCGCCAGTGAGGCGGCATTGGAAAGGGGTTTGATCGCGATTTCTTTGCTAGGCTGGCAAATTTTTCATGTTTGAACTGAACATAACATCATTCTTTCATGAAAATTAAAGGTAGACTAGATCGTTGAAACCATTTACCTTTGGGCATTACCCAGGATTACGAATGCTTCATTCAAAGGATAGCTCTGTTTACACTTATCGATCGATGTTTTAAAGAAGGTGCATCAATTCCACTGCTACAAATGTGGGTGCAGCCGATGTCAAGCCATCTTTCAGTTTGAAAGATAAATAAAAGCTCGCCAATCTCAACCAGCCAAAACGGCGTGGATCACGTGTGTTCAACATAATCCATGGATTATTTCAGAGCCCATTTTGAGAGCTGTGCTGTCCTTGAAAATTACGAACGTGCCACAGCACATAACTTTAGAACGAATCATCATTTGCTAATGGGAATATTGGTTCCAGCAAATATGCAGGCTACATGTCATGCTGCTCACTGCTCGAAATCAACATAACAGTAAGCATATCAAGTAAAATTATTTCAATTGACTTTGCATAGGCAACAGCCATGTCTTTCAATGATGTTCGTGGATGGGTTTATCTCCAAACGCGTGTTTTCACAGTAAAACGGCGTTTCTCCAGTCTCCACATTTTCTTAATGACCCTCGAACGGTCCGAGCCAGAACTCTAACCAGCCTGACCCATTGTCACCGACCGGCTATCCAATAACCATAAAATCGACGATTCCTCAGGCCGAGCGCACATTAAACGGAGCCCGTGGCGAAGGGTCATTTGGCGGAGAGATCTAATGAGAAAATGACCCTTGTGGAAGCTGCTGCTAGTGAAATCAATCAGGGATGGACCCGGTGAGACGTGTCATCTGGAAGAGGGGGGGGGGGGGGGTAAAGTCTCTTCGGTAGTTGCGAAGCGTCAGACAGAGTCTTTAGGTGTCAAGACTCGCATACATTCCTAGGTATAAATGTTTGACCAAAAGTTAACATTTGATCACTCTGGCCGTTTTCACGACGGAACTTTCGCAGAGGAACTTATTTGATACCTAAAAAGTACCTACCCTTAGAGGCCTTAACATCCATCAAACTGAAATATTTTATGTTCAAAATAATTTTAGAAGTTTAAATCCGGGCATTTTTTGCCCTCAAATCACTAACTTATTTACAAACACAGCAATTTTTGGTTCTAGTAGCCCACCTTTCGACTATGAGGTATTAAATCAGCGTGGCAACTTGCTCCCTCTTTGCTCCCTCGGGTATCTAATTCCGGAATTCTTAAAAACAAGAAAAGTATATATCGAGTTCTCTTTTATACCTATTCAGTTATGTTTTAATGGTGATTAAAATATGACAAATTTTTTAATTACATTTCATATAAGAAAACACGCAAAACAATGAAACAAAAATAACTACGGCAGATAATTACCTTCAGGTATCTAATTCCGACCAATCAGCACCTCAGTAGGATATGACGTCATACAAGAATGGTGATGAGGGCCGTTTGCAGTCCCGGCCGGTAGGTCACGTGACCGCCGGGCGCCTCGGGTCACGCGGCGGTCGGGAGTCGGACGCGGGGCGTGGTCGCGGGCGGACGCGCGGGGCATCATGCTTTGCTTTGCTTGCTTTGTCAACTTCATATAACTTACTATCGCATTCGTGTGAAAGCCAAACACTGCTCAGTGCCCTTAGAAATTGAGTTTTGGAAAGCTCAAGTCCCTATAGCTCCTCAGGTCGGCAACAGTTGAAGCCTCATCTGAACCCATGTGAAAAAAACGAGGGTAAGGAACCTTGTGTTGCTTTTTCTTTTACCGTCATAATTATCTCAAACCATCACAATTTTGAGTTGCCACATTGTCTGCTTCACTACATTCGTGTAAAACTTGGATGAAGGCTGGTGGCTCAAAGAAAGGTGAAGATATTTCTTTAAGTGCCTAATCCGTGAAATTGAAATATCCCGGCTGTTTGTGATATTTTACTCGCGTTGTGTTTTGTCTTAATTGCTTAATTCGACTTAATATTCAAATACTGTTTCTACATTGCTTCGCTTTATTGACCCACTTCAGAAGTTCCCACTTTTTCTCCTCTAAATCAGCTCAAATTTATTTGGAGCTCGCGCTGAAGTCTGAACCCGCTATGTAATCAAGCGGTCCTCCGCGACATCACCCCCCACGCTGAGTGATTCCCAATCACTCTGAATCACTATCACACCTCACATGTCTCGATCAGTCCCTTGCATCACTGATCCAGCTCCAGTCTGACGATCTTCGTCACTGGTCTCCTGTAGACGCCCTTTGACGTTTTGACCTCAGCGACCCGCACCAGTCCGTCCGGGCCGGGGAACGTGGCGGTGACTCTTCCCAGGGGCCACGAGCCGCGCGGCACGGTCTGGTCGACGAGCAGAACTGCTTCGCCTTCTTGGATGTTCCGTGAAGCCTCGGTCCATTTCTGTCTGGCTTGCAGACTCGGCAGGTACTCTCGGATCCAGCGGCGCCAGAATTCCCTGTTGAGTTGTTCCAGCCGCTGCCACCTTCGCTTCAGGTAGTTGCGGTCGTTACAGGAGGTCGGTGCCAGGTCAACTTCATTATGACCCAGCAGGAACGACGCCGGGGTCAGCGGAGGGCCGTCATTTGGATCGGACGACACCGCTGTGATTGGCCGAGAGTTCAGCAGCGCCTCGGCACGACAGAAAGAAGTCTGTAGCTCTTCATCAGTCAGGTCTGCACTCTGCAGCGTTTTGCGCAGGCTCCTCTTCACACACTTCACTGTTGCCTCACATCCACCGTTGAAGTGAGGCGCTCCCGGCGGGATGAAGTGCCACTTGATGTAGAGGTGCGCTGTCTTGTCTTTGACTTGATCTTCATCAAGCTGAAGCAGTAGCTTCCTGATCTCCTTGCTTGCTCCGACGAAGTTGGTGGCGTTGTCAGACGTCACGTGGCTCGGTCTGCCTCTTCTTGATATGAATCGCATGAAGGCTCGAAGGAAACTGTCGGTATCCAGACCGTACGCCACTTCTAAGTGAATGGCCTTCGTGAGCAGACAGTAGAACACGCACAAGTACCGCTTCTGTCTTGTTTTCCCGCGGCCCTGACGAGTCTCAAAGGGCCCGGCGAAGTCCACCGAAATGTGGCTGAATGCTGACTGCGTTGGTTGCGCATGACTGGGTAGCTTCGAGCCCATTTTCTGTGCTTCTGGCTGGCGCCGTCTTCTGATGCACTCCGGGCAGGTGCGTATGGGTCGTTTGCCAGCTTCTCTTGCGGCGATGATCCAGAACCGCTGCCTCAGCTCGGAAATGGTGTGCTCCACTCCCATCTCGTGGTCTGCGTCTTTGTGTGTCTGCTCGATGATGAGACAAGTCACGGCGTGCTGTTTGGGTAACAGCGCTGGGTGTCTTGCTTCGAACGGTATATCTGACCGGCGCACGCGACCACCGACTCGAAGAATGCCATCGCCATCCAAGAATGGAGATAGCCGTCGAATGCTGCTGTCCTTTAGCTCCCTTGGCCGCTTTCCTGTGGCGGAGTGGCCTGCCTGAGCCACGAGCTGACGCTTCTCTTCTTCAAACTCACTTTGAGCCAGCTTCACCCAGAACGTCTCCGCCGTCTTCAGCTCAGATGGATCCAATGGATGCACCAATGAGGCGTCTGAGGTCAGCTGTAGGTCACGGCCGGACCTCGTCTTCAGATTCGACACGAATCTTAGCACGTAAGCCGTGGTTCGCACCAACTTCACCCAAGATGAGAAACGAGCAGGATCAAGGCGTGACTCCTTTTCCAGCTTCTTCATCTGCGTGTTCTTCACCTGTTTTGTCTGTCGATCTTCACTTCTGTCGAATTTCTCCTGTGAGAAATCTTTCTTCTCTGGCCAATAATCGGGTGGCTGACACAGGAAGTCCGGACCTTCCCACCACATCTTGCTTTGGGCCATCTCATCCAAGCTCTGGCCTCTGGTCGGCAGGTCGGCTGGGTTTCTTGTCCCGGGCACGTGCTGCCACTGTCTTGGCTCTGTAGTGTCTCTGATTTCCGACACCCGGTGTGCCACGAAGCTCTGGAACCTGCTGACGTCGTTGCGGATCCAGCAGAGAACATTCACTGAGTCTGACCAGAAGAATACTCGGGTCATCGGAATGTTCATCATCTTGCACACCTTCTTCACTAGCCGGGCGCCAAGCAGTGCTCCCATGAGTTCGAGCCGTGGTATGCTGACTTTTGTCGACTTGGGCGCCACTCTGACCCTTGACATGGCCAGTCTTGATGACCTTTCTTCATCCTGTTGGCTTACTACGTATATAGCGGCGGCGTATGCAGACTCTGACGCGTCTGAAAACACGTGTATCTCCTGCCGGCAGATCTCTTCAAATGGATGCAGACAGCGAGGCACGTTCACTGACTCCAATCTTCGCAGCTCTGACTCCCATCTTCTCCATCTCCGTTCCAGCTCCGGTGGGAGGTCATCATCCCAGTCCAGATTCAGCTGCCATGTCTGTTGAAACAGCAGCCTCCCTGTGACCGTGAAAGGCGAGCAGAGGCAGAGCGGATCGAACACGGAGGCTAGAACTTTCAGACAACTTCTCTTGGTTCTGATTGTGCCTTTGTCTTCAGCTTCATCTGTCCTCGGACCGGAGCTGACGCTGATCACATCATCTTCTGCGTTCCAGACAACACCCAGGGCCTTGTTTGGAGAAGAATCTTGTTCGATTTTCACGGAAGACTTCTCAGCTCGATCCTCAGGTGGCACAGTTTCCATGACTTTTGTGTGGCTGCTCATCCACTTCCTTATCTTCATTCCAGCTCCTGCCATGAGATCGGTCAGCTGTTTCCGAGCTTCCACTGCTGCTTCGACATCTTCAAATGAGGTGATGGCGTCATCCATATAGAACGAATCATTCACGACATTTGCTGCCAAGGGAAGCTTCTCTGCGTGAATCTCGGCGTTCCGCTTCACAACAAACTGCGCTGCAAAGGGTGCTGCTGCGTTGCCGAATAACCACCTGCTCGCTTCATATACATCAACTTCACGTTCTTCATCACCGTTCCTCCACAACACTCTGTGATACTTCTGATCTTCCTCTGGAAGTTTCACCTGCAGGAACATTTCCTTCACATCGCCCGTGAGGGCGATTGGGTGCCGACGGAAACCGAGCAAAACTTCAATGAGGTCGTTGCACATTGATGGACCCGTGTAGAGCTGGCTGTTGAGACTTCTGCCTCTGAAGCTGGCGGCAGCGTCATAGACCACTCTCAGTTTCGTGGTGACTCGGTCGCTTCTTATCACAGGAAAATGTGGCAGAAACCATCCGTCCTCTTCAGCAGTCATCCTGTCTTCACCTTCAAGCTTCTTCATGTAGCCCTTGGAGAGGTAGTCTTTGAAGACGGCGTCGTAGTCCGTCAGCAGCTCCTTCCCCGCCTTCTTCAACGACTTCTCGGTCCTCTCGAGCCTTTTGACCGCGTATCCAAAGTTTCCGTGCAGGTTTGGCTTTCCGTCTCGCCACGGGACAGCAACTTCATAGCGCTCGCCATCAAACTTCAGAGAAGTCTCCATTATTTTTGTCGCTATCTTGTCTTCATGAGACAGAACTTCAGCTTCATTTTGGATCCCGATCAGGTCCAAACTGGTCATTGCCCTCATTGCTTCGATTTCTTCTTCATTGTGCTTCTCCGGTTTTGGTGGCGCCTCTTCGGAATGAGCCAACTTCAGCTTCTTCAACTCTTCCAACTTCATCACCTTCATGTTCGTCCTCATCGTCTTGCTGTTGCTTCCGCTGCGCTCATATCCGAGAAGTCCGAATGCCGTCCATCCCAACGGTGTTCTGATACCCACTGGATCGTCTTCACCGCCCTTCACAGTCTCCAGCGGAATGAAGAGTTCCATGGTGTTCCTGGCAAGTCCGATGAGCATGTCCACGCCTTGCTTCTTCGTAGGTGTTGGAAATGGCAGAGACTTCAGGTGGTCCCACTTCAACTTAATGCCATTCCAATCACCGATCGTAGAAGCACTTGACAGGTCATCAATGACGAAGGCACTCAAGTCAATGCCAAACTTCTCATCCAGAGAACTCATCTTCACTTCGGTTTTCTTCATGTTCACCGATTCATTTCCATTCACCGTCCCCAACTCAAACCTCTCTTCGGTTCCACTGAGTTTCAGCTCTTCAGCAGTGGCTCTGGTGACGAAACTTGCGTCCGAGCAGGGGTCGAGCAGCGCGTTCACCACCACTGATCTTGTTCCATTGGTCAGTCTGACAGGGACTGTTTGGAACGCTACGGTGCTCGTGTCTTCTTGAACCTGTTTTGTTTTGAACACCTGCGAAGCATTAGCGGTCCTCTGTTCTGTCTCCCGAATGGCTGCGCCTCCGGTGGGAGCCTCGGAGCAGGTCAAACCGCTGGCTTCAGCGTGCAGTAGTGTATGATGGCTGCCGCCGCACGCCGCGACAGAACAGCCAGGATACTGGCGACAGTTACGGCCGTTGTGAGTTCCTGAAAGGCAGCGAAAACATATACCCTTCGTCTTGCAGAAGTGATACCTGCTCCCAACAGTCCACTGGCAAAACATGGGGCACACTTCCAACTTGTGCTCTCCGCCGCAGTACATGCACTTCATGGGTCCATTCTCTTTGGCACGGTGTTCACTTCTTGCATTGAAGCTCTTCTTGTATTCGTGTTCGCCTCGTTTCTCTCCGTGCCTCGGTTTCGACTTCTTTCGGTCTTCTGACTGCCAGTGACTGCTTCCGGCTCCGCTCATTTCATGGGCATCTCTCTCACACACCGCTTCATCTGAGAGCCAACCGGCGAAGAGAGTGAAGCTGTCCTTTTCTTTTTGAACTTGCAGCCAGCGCTTGTAACTCTTGAGGTAGGTGGCTGGCAGCTTTTCTTGTACAAGAATATAATAGGCTGAGACGTCCGAGAGATCTCCAGCCCCTCCATGCTCTTCAAGCTGGGTCACCAGACTCTGCACTCGATCGGCTAGATCTTCGAGATCTTTGTATGAGCCCTGACGGACCGGTCTCAGGTGTCTGATTTCTTCCAGCTGATACCGTATCCGGCGGCCCGACCCTCCATACCTTCGATCCAATTCACTCCTAGCCTTGTCATATCCGGCTTTGGTAGGGCTGTATCTTTCCACCAGCTTGAGTGGCTCTCCGGAAAGACAGTTGCGAAGCTGCATCATCTTAAACTTCTCTGGAATTTCTTCGCCGTCGACAAATGCATCAAACGTGGTCTTCCAGTCTTCATATTTTCTGTTGTCCCCGGAGAAGACCGACAGCGGGGGATTTTTTAATCCATACGCGCCCCAGTCGATTCGAGCGCTTCTAGCCTCTGCTTTCTTCTGCGCTCTTGGTGCTTCTTCATTTCCTTGGGAACTTATGGAAGCCAATTTCTCTCTGATCATTTTGTTGGCGAATCTTACTGCTTCTCTGCCGTCCTTCTCCATCTGTTCTATCTCTATCCACAGCTCTTCTCTTTCTGTTTGTTCAGACATCTTCAAGCTTAGAGCTTCCCCAATTTCATTCAGTTTTTCAGTCAGGTTGTCCATGGACTCCAATATTTCTGCTGAGTTCCCTACAGTTAACTCTCCGCTTTCGACTAGCGAGTTGAGTTCCCTCTGAGCTTTATGAAACTCTCTCACTGTTGCCGTCATGTTCTTCTTTAGGGAAAGCTCCGTCGCGTTGTCTTCCGCCATCTGTTCTGAACCTTCAGGGGGCTGTGTTCCTTTCTTCTTCTTTCCGGCCATTCTTGCTCGCCGATATTCTAAATTCACTTACCTACACAGCTTTATAATTACACCCAAGCTTCATCATTTACTGTACATTAAAACTCATGCAAATGCTAATCGTAACCGTCCGTTTCTTCACTCAATCAAACTTCAAAGAGCTTAATTACGTTAGCTTTGCTCAATGCAATGTGACAATCAATAGCTTAACATCCGGGTCATCGCGGCATCATATGTTTGTGATATTTTACTCGCGTTGTGTTTTGTCTTAATTGCTTAATTCGACTTAATATTCAAATACTGTTTCTACATTGCTTCGCTTTATTGACCCACTTCAGAAGTTCCCACTTTTTCTCCTCTAAATCAGCTCAAATTTATTTGGAGCTCGCGCTGAAGTCTGAACCCGCTATGTAATCAAGCGGTCCTCCGCGACACCGGCTTTACAAATCTACACTTTTCATTTTCTCCACGATACATTTTTTAAAATTGTTTAAATTTTATCTACATTTGTTAAAATCGGGGCTTTGGTTTTGTGTAAACTAGATCATAAAGTTTACTATAGTTTTGTGTAACCTGATGGCTGAAGAAAATAGTAATTTTGCTAAAATGATGTGCGGAAATTTGTTGCTTTCCAAATCAAATTACTCATACCTATATTTCATTCAAAATTAGGAGGCATAATTACTGTTTTTTCTTGTAACATGAACTGAGTTTGGGTACGGTGCTCCGGAAACGTTGTGGAACTTTAAGCTAGCTAGAGCAGTTTCCATAAAAATTGTTTAGATAGTTGACATGGCTTGTTGACAACTCTTTTGCTGTTTCTAAAAAAGTGAAAAAAAAATATTTTCCTGCATTAAGCACACAAGGGATGTTATTCTCATAAGCTATCGAATGTGTGTGTGTGTGTTTTTTTAAGCTGTTTTTTAAGCTTTTAAGCTGTAACTTCAGTTACTTCACTTTAGAACATATTGCCCAGAATGCGTCACTGATCATGAGCTGGTATATCATATCATATGTAGCAAATACATAAATGAGAATAGTGTGTCATAAATTTTTGTGCATGCTTCTGGATCATCTGTAATTACATCAAAGGCTCGGCTCAAGAGTGTCCTGCCGACCAGCTTATGCCCAACCCTTTCTGTCCGCAGAACGTCGCCTGCGACTCCCGCACGCCGTTTGCCCCGGCCGTCCGTACTGGTCTTCGCGCTGCGAGCCGCGCTGGAGTTCGCGGCGGCGTCGTGGAGCTCCCATCGGGACGGCGTGTGATGCCCGCGTCGAGCTTATAAGCCGTGAGCTTCGATTGGCGGCTCACGCGGTCACCAGCTGTATGTACAGCCTCGGCCCCGACGACCCCGCTAATGGCCGAGACCGGCATACCCCCGGCATGGGTCCGCTGTCCGGCGCAGCGCTGGCCGCCCGCATGCTATGCTACTTTTGGCTGTATCGCTGCCCAGCGGGAGCGCGCTCCACGCTGCGGAAGAGGTACACGTTGCGACCCGACTGAGGACTGCAACCGGATGGTGACACGTCGGCCTCTGCGCCCTGGCCGGGGCAGGCGTGACTGACGTCACAGTGGAGGAACGCCCAAACAAGACCAGCCCACCGTCGGAGCAGCATGGAAATATCATGTTCTGCCTGGACGTCGGACCCGGCGGCCGCAGTGCACCTGCACACGTGCGGAGAGGGGCGCTGGAGGCTACTCTGGAGCTTCTGCCATTCCGCGGCGCGACTGCTGGCAAAACGGCGGCGACTGAGGCGGTTGGGAACAGCTGCAGCAATGGTGATGGCGGTGATGGCGACATGGCGGTTTGGGACTTCATCTCAGCGCGGCCGCCGCCCAGGCGCCGCTGCGCCCGGCTGCTCAGCCACCTACCGGATGGCGGGGTGGCCCTTACGGCCCTCACACCCGTTCGGTCTGCGGCCACGTTGTGGGGTGGCGGTCGCGGGGTTAGCGGCGTTGGACTTCATCCTTTATCCAGACTGCACCGTACCATCTGAACGGATGGATCTGCCAAGAAAGATGACATCCAAGGCGGCTATGAGGCGATCACAAAGCTTCACCAAGAGCTTCTCCTTCATGGGGCCGGCCGGCCGTTAAGTCGCAACACCGGCTGCCGAGTGCCAACAGCTGCGTGCGCTGGCGCCGACGCGTTGTGGGCCGCGCTGCTGACGCCCAAGCTGCGATATCAACCATCTATGAATAAGTGGCAGCGGTGGCGGCTTGTCAGTTGTTAACGTGCCTTAACAGACGTTGCGAATAGCCCGCGTTGGAATCGCATGGTTGGGAACACAACGCAAGTAAAAATGGGCTTCCTTGATGAACCTACTTTTTAAGCACTGTAGCCTTTGTAATTTTGGATGTTTTGCTGTAGATATTATTTTCTACATATATACTATATAGGCACTCACGTGCTTTAAATCGCGCAATGCAATTGAACCATGGTAAAGACAATGATAAATGAACTGAGAGCTGACATGCCCCATGCTTTGTGTGTGTGTGTGTGTTTTTTTTTTTTTTTTGGCGAGTCGATAAAAGTGGTTTTGGACACTGGATGAGTTTTTAGGGGTGTGGTGAGGAGGAATGTAATTCCACAGACCTTTTGTCAGATTCACCAATGCAGTAGGTCTGTGCGGTATTTAGATATCGGAGCATTCTTTGAAAGTCGTGAATAGGGCAACTGAGTACCTACCGGGGTACTCAGTAGCCGTGATATCCCCTCACAAAAACTTCTTTTAAATAACCGGGGATAAGTACATAAGCAGAGTAATTGCTATTACCAACACCTAGGTATCACAATGCTGAGCGAATAGGAAAATCTATAGATGGAGAA